ACCCGGGTCAAACCCGACAAAAGCTTTTTCGACCCGGGTTATGACTCGGGTCAATAGAAGCCGTATATATGCCGGAACTTTTCGGGTTTTTGCTTCAAAAAATTTATGTTTTTTCATTTTCTACATCGGTAAATTTCGGATCTATTATATATTTATCTAACCCGTTTGACCCGGGTTAAGGTTAGTGTTTGTAGTCGATTTGGCTTTAGCCGATAAAATCGACTTGGTCAGCTAAGTCAGTCGATTTTTTAAAAAATCGACTTAGTCGATTCAATTAAAAACTTGGCCAAGTATATAGTAAATGGTCGGATGATTTCGGAGAGCTAGTTGAGTGCAGGGAAAATTCGGAATATTTTATTTTTTATATTGGAAATCGACTTAGCCGGCTAAGTCAATTTTTAAATATCTGCTTAGTCGAGTCGATAAATTTTGGTCGACTACAAACACTAGTTAAGGTTCATTTTGACCCGAGTTGGGGCCTGACCCGTGACCCGTACGGGTCAAGCGACCCGGGTAATAACTCTACTTTCAATGAAAATAAACAACCAATTTCTATCTTGCTCTCCTTAAATTTTTCGAGGTATTATGTATGATCAGAATCATGTGATTTTGACACCATTTGTTTACTGGGAAATCTACGGACAGTGCTTAGGGACAGTGCAGTCACGTGATTAACAATATTGCAATTTTTTGAAATTTTAACGAAGATATCTCGACAACCACCTAATGAAATTCGTTGAATTTTTTTTATTCTGATTGTATGAATATATAGAATTAAATAAAAAAAATTTATCGAATTTCATTAGATGGTTGTCTGAGATATCTTCGTTTAAAATTTGAAAAATTTTGAAGCGGCTTTGAATTTGAGATATTTGAAAATTGACCCGACTTTGGTTGAAGATATCTCAACAACCACTTAGTGAAATCCACTGAAAATTTTTTATTCTGATTCTATGAATGTGTACAATTAATGTAAAAAAAAAATTCATCGGATTTCATCAGGTTGTTGTCAAGATATTTTCGTTTAAAATTTCAAAAAATGCCGTATTGTTAGTCACGTGACTGCACTGTCCCATAGCACTGTCCGTAGATTTCGCGTTTGTTTACGTAATACATTTTGTCGATCCAAGTGGCTTGAAATCAGTATATATAATCTGTTTTTTTCTCACTTAGTAACGATTTTTTTGACAAAAACAAACGTTGTCAAGCATATTTCGCAATTTCGCAACATAAAAATCTTAAAAAAAAATTTTTACGATATCAATATTGAGCTCAAACGGATTACACAAAATGACTCAGGTAACTCGCGTGGAAAAACGGCGCAGTATATAATTGATAACTGGAAAGTTTGTTGTGGACTTGTAATGCTGATATTGAGATTGAGGGGAATAAAGTCTCGCTTTTTATGAGACTAAAGGAGGCAATCAAGATAAGGCCAAGCTGGAACACGCAAAGTCGACTGGTTATGAACGCAAAGTTCGTGCTTATCTTGATAGTCAAGGTATGGTCAAGCTGGAACACGCAAAGTCGACCGGTTATGAACGCAAAGTTCGTGCCTACCTTGACTGTCTTCGGGGGCTAGCTGGGAAACCTCCTCTCAACTGAAGGGTTTTAATAATTTTTGCGAGCTATACTAATTCTATCTTTTTTCTCCCTTTTTGCTAGTGGTATAAAAAAATCAAACCAGGATGACAAGATTATTCAAAACATATTACTGAACATAATGCCCTTAAGGTATTCTATATTTAGCCTTGCTCTCATGATGAGAACATATAGAATTACGGAATTGATTTTTTTGTTCTTATTACAGGAAGAACTGCATAACGAAATTCTAAAAAATTCGATATTACGAGATCAAGTCGTATGAACCACACTTGAAGAACATCTAACAAGAAAACTTTCAGCCGAGGAAGCCTCTCCTGTCATCATTTTTTCTCCTAATCTTTGAGATCGTAGTTATCGTACAAATGAACCATCGGGTTCAACCGAAGAAACTCCTCCAGTAATGTTTTTTTTCGTTTTGTTTGTCATATGATGAGCATATGCTCGTTCCTAATCAGTAATATTACTTTTTTAAGAAGACAAATGATCAAACCAAGTCCGATTTAGTGCTAACAAAAAATCAAGATAACGATGACGAAGAAAAGGATATTGATTTTTCTTTGACAAATGCTAATAAAATTTTGGCTTCTTGTAATTATACCTTGAGCTATATTTTCTTTAGTCCATTCAATAAATTCTCGTTCATATCGAACTTTTTTCTTATTGCACCTTCTCGTGTAATATATTTATTATGAAAACTTATCCATTTTTATGTTTTTTGTTAAGGTCTATTGATTGGCAAGAACAATCTTCGCCATAAATTTTCGTACAGACTAAACACACCAAACATACTGGACATGTATTCAAACGAAAACTTAATTTTGGGTGTGTCGATATTGTAGTATCGTTTAGAATACAATCGCAAAAAGAATATAATTATATTACTAATCACGCCCAAATCAAAAGTTTATCATTGCCGAATCAAAAACTTATCGAATCGGCAAAAACCACTCGGTCAATTTTTTACCAGATGTCCCAAAAATAATGAAAGCAGCTGTAATAGTCAATAATAAATTTTTGCGTTAACCATCACGATGAATTTATGAAATTAATTTGGCATCAAATCCAAATATTTGATCAAGTTAGAATGAAAACAGCTGTAATTCTAAATTCCAAAAAAGTTTTTGGTCCTCTGATTTAGAATGATAACCCACTAAATTTATTTGACACTCCAAAATTAGATATATAATTTGTATAATTTGAAAAAGGTTACAAGTTATGAAATAATCAGGCCAAACGATTTATATTGATCGTAAATAGTTAATTGTAACATTTTTTTCCTTTTGAATATCTGTGTCAAATTTTTAAAATTAGGTATTTCATAAATTCACTTCAATTCTAGTAGCTAATTTAAATAAATTTGACTGGTTTCGAGTTTGATACTATTAATCTCAATGGGACATATGTTTGGGTTTTGGTTATGTAAGTAGAAGTTCCGATTCCCAAACCCAAACTATGTAGTAATGTCGTAATTCAAAAAAGAGACACAGAAATAATTTATGTGAAATATTCCGATCAGGAGCTAGTCAATATCTAAATATTTATTAAGTAAATGTGATTTCTGCCTCAAATAAAAGTTGTAGAGGTCATTTTCCGATTTTAATTATATTAAAATTATGAAATCTTCTCAGTGAATCGCGAGATATAAGTGTTTAAATCTTTGTAGCTATGCAATTTGTCTTCAAAACTTTATAATATGATCGCGAAGATAAAAGTACTTGTATCTCTCGGTCTACTGAACCAATTTTAGCAATTTTTGCATCAATCAGATCGGAATAATGGCCTCTACAACTTTAATTAGAAATACGGAAGATTTACTTAAAATATTTCGAAAATTGTATTTTTAATGCTTACAAAAATGCGGAATTTCCTCTAATTAAAGTTGTAGAGGCAATAATTCTGATTATATAATCGTAAAGATCTAAATGCTTATATCTCGCGATTCACTGGGATGATATTGGAAATTTTAATATTTTTAGAACCGGAAAAATGGCCTCTACAACTTTTATTAGAGGAGAAATCACATTTACTTAATAAAATGTTTATATAATGACTAGCTCCTAATCAGAATATTTCACATAAATTGTTGCTGTGTCGATAAGGCCGATAAGTCACGTGTTGCTGTGTCGCCTTTTTATTTCTGTATTTATCTCAGAGTCATATCGATATGTTTTGGCTATACTTCCGATGTCAAAATAAGAAAAGTTTCTGTAATCTTTCGTTTAAAGTATTAAAATATAATTCCATTAATTCTCAACTTATAGCAAAAAAAATGTGCCTTTGTACCTCTTCCTGATCCTCTTTGTTTCTTTTGACAAATTATCAAACGTTTCACCGTCAGTGGTCATAGAGTTCCCAATAAGAGGGTTTCCTGTAAACTTTGAATTATCAATGTAAACAGTGTGATTACTTGTCGAAATTGCTCATCCTCCAATTCCTTGCTAAGGGCTAGAAATGAGGAAGTTTGGTATGGTACCTGCATGCAGTGAAGGAAATCTGAAAAAAAAATTTGTTTTTTTGAGAACATAAAATTTTGAATTTATGTTCTTATTAATAAAGTTTTAAAAAATTTTCTGTTCTCAAAATACTATTAACTATATTTAAAAATTATGTTCTCATTCTGAGAACATAATTTTTAAATATTATGTTTTCAAAAATTTTTTTATGTTCTCGAGAACGTTGAGAACATCAGATTTCCAACACTGCCTGCATATATTAAACCAATTCAAACTTCCCTATCTCTAATCAGGGCAGGTTCCTTAAAAAAGTGGATTAGAATACATAGTAAAATTCTTGACAAGTACTTACAAAATTTTAATTAGATTTTAACTACATCAGGATGCCTCGCAGGCTTAACATCAGACAAGCTCCGCAGATCCTTATCACGCCACTTTGTATTTCCAATAACAAATAAAGTGATCATACTTGCCTTCTTATATCTGTTCACCTTTCTCTGTTTTGATAATAGTTTTAGGGAATAGAAGATAAATTCCTATTTTTTGTTGGAACGTTTCTTCGTTTGCATTCTTCTAAAAACTCTTGAAGGCAAGTTTTTGATCGAAATATTTGTGTATTTCGTTACAGGCATAATTAAATATAGTCATTATTACTTTATTTTATTTGATTGTACGTGTTGAAATACGTTGGTTTTTTGGGGGGCTTAAATAGAAATTTTTGAAATTTTTTTATTTTAATTCTACGCAAATAAACATCATTAAACTTGGATAGTTATCGAAAAATTGATTTTGAACGTTTTAAATTTTTTTTTTTTTTTTTTTTTTTTTTTTTTTTTTGAGATATCTCGACTATATAACTATATTAGAAATTTTATTAGATGAAACTTTTCTACATATCGTGATATAGACAGAATTAAAATAAATAAAAAATTAATTCGCAATTATTTCTGATTGGTTGAGATCATCACCGAAAAAATTTTTAGCGAGCACTAGACGTTAACGTTAAGGGATAGGAAATTTAAGCTAGTTTGTACTAGCGCTAGGTCTCAACCAAAAAAATCTTTGGTATTACACGAATTTTTTTTAAAGTTTTTTTTTATCGTCACCAATCATATTATCTTAAATTCAGCCAATAAAACCGAATTTTTGCTATACAGTTGGAATTCGAAGTCTCGACTTCAAGCCTCATACTATTTCAATTTTGGCAGAGGTTTCAACCTTCGACATCATGGAAAAATGGTTTCGTCTACCAACTATAGCTCAGCCTTTTATCTTTCTTAGGGTTTCGTCTACCAACTATAGCTCAGCCTTTTATCTTTCATAGGGTATCGTCTTTCATTAGGGTTTCTGAAGTTTCGCCTTTTACCAGAAGTTTCTTATTTCGCCAGGGGTTTCATCGCTTCACAAGAAGTTTCGAGTTTCGTCAAAGTTTCGTCTTTTCTTCAAAGATCTCACCTTTTCGACAAGGGTTACGTCTTTCGTCTTCCGTTAGTTCTAATCCTTCTCCATTACGTGAATCACCCAAAAATTTTACACGTGGAAAGGCAAAAAGTTCTAACGTTGATACATTAAGTCCTCAAACTAGAAAAGTTCTTAGAGGTTTGGGCTTTCTAAGTGTTGGTTTTGGTATAATATTTACTGCTTACCTTGGTAAGTAAAATTTATTTTTAATGCTTAAAAAATAAATAACTTTTAATAATTAATATTATTAAATTTTTATAGGAAGACCATTTAACAGTGATCGAGAAGATCAGGTTTAATCTTATTTTTTAAAAAATTTTTTTTTTTTTTGTCTTTGATGGATTAATTCACATAATTTATTTTTAAATCTCATTTTATTTAGTTTAAAGATTTAAATAAATTCAAAGCATGGTATACGCGATTATATGAAAGAGTAAAAGACATTACGCATGTAAGTTTAGATCAAAATTTTTTTTGAAATTTCAGTTTTTGATATTTAAAAATAAAAAAAAAATTTATTATATTATATGAATTTAAAATTTTTTAATTATATGACCCTTAGTTTTTTACAGATCCTTCATCTGATAAATTATTACCAGATAAAGATACAATACCAAATCTTCCTCCATTAACTTTAGTAATCAATTTAGATCAAACTCTTATTTATTCTTCTTGGGATGTAAGTTTTTTTTTTTTTTTTTTATAATTACTCCGAAATATATATTTTTTTTTAACATATTATATAGTACATGATAAAATTAATTATATACTTTTTAAATATTTAGAGAAAACATGGTTGGAGAACTGCAAAAAGACCGGGTGTTGATTATTTTTTATATGTCGCTTCAAATCTTTTTGAAGTTGTCATATTCACTTCGCAACCTTCTTATGTAAGTTTATTTATTATTTTCTTGTATATTATTATCTAAATTTATAAAATTAGAGTATGTATACAATGATAATATTTTAGTTTTTTATAGGTTGCTGAACAAATACTCACGAAACTTGATCCACTTGGAATGGTTCCATTCAGACTTTTTAGAGAATCGACGCGATATGTAGAAGGAAAGGTTATAAAGGTTTGTTTTAATTAAAATTAGATTTATCAAATTTTTTTTTTTTTTGGTTTAAAAGAGTATTATATATTGAATTTTATTATATATTCATATTAGGATATTTCAAAATTAAATAGAGATTTATCTAAAGTAATAGTTATGGATTCTAATCCTGAAGCCTATGCTTTACAACCTGATAATGTGATTTCTGTTCCTCCATGGACAGAAGATCCAAATGACACTTACCTTGTTGACATCATTCCGTTTCTTGAAGGTTAGATTTGTTGTGTTTTATGTATTTTTATATTTTCATTAGTCGTATCTAATGAATAACTTTTTTTTTTTGATTTAAGGCATTTCTATATTGTTATCTGATGTTCAGGATATTTATCCAGTGATAAAAGAATTTAAAGGAAAGAACGTTCCAGAATATTATCCAATATGGGAAGAGCAGTGGAAGAAGCAGCATCAACTAGAGTGGGAAAGGGCTAAGCCAAGAAAAGAGGGTTTGGCAAGATTTGTGTCATTGATTGGTGGTGGTGGTCAGGTGGTAAGTTATATATTTTTTTTACATATTTAATTATATTTCTTGTGACGATGTTCCTGATAATAATCTCACTAATAACAGGAACAAGCTATACCCCAATATCAACAAGCATTACTTCAACGCCAGATGGTTCATAATGAATTATTTGAGCATTATAAATCAGTGAAAGATAGAGGACCAGAATTACAGCGTGCGATAGATGATTATGAGAAAAAACTTCAGGAAAGCATGAAAGAACAAAAAATTACGCATTGGCAGTTATTAACAAAGGTAAACAAATAAATGAATGAATTTTAAATCATTAAGATTAGTAGTCTTGATATTTCTATTTTAAATTTTTCATTTTCAGGGACCACCACAAATTCCATTTCCACAACCTGATCCACAACCACCTCAATCACGATAATTAAAGTAAACTCATCATGTTTATCATTTTATGGGCGATGACATTAACTGTTACCATACAAAGTTAATAAAAAAAAAAATTACGTTATATAAATATATATTATTTAATTATTTTATTACTTGTTTCTTTATCATATCGTAGTTTTTATTTTTTGATATTCAAAAGGACGCGTACAATTTGATGAATAATGAAATTGTATTAAACCGAAATTTTAGGTTGTATCAATACAGATATAAAAATGGTAAACCTTACGTTATAAATTACAGTGGGAACAGTGGTGACATAAGGAGTACTGCTTTAGACGACCTAAACTTTCATGGAACGTATATTCTAAAAACACATTATGTATCTATTCTATTACAACATTAAAAGTGAAATGATTGTTTCTACGTTAGTAAAATTTATAAATTAATTTTTATTATACAATCAACTATTGATATTACGGACATAGCGAAACGGTCCTTGAGTCAAGTTTGTGCATATTATCAGTCTAACGTGATTTTTTAATGTATAAACAATACCTGGCTTTATATGCTCCTTAAATACAAAGACTGAGGTCAATACACCTGGACTTTGTTTGAAATAAGCTTAAAATTGATCCCAAAAAGTCTATGTGAAGAACCGGGTTCGACAAGCTTTAGTTGGATTCTTAAAATCATTTTTAATTTATTTAAGATCCTTTAATAATGATAAAGATTAAATAATTATAAATTATGCCCAAAATTCCAAAGTTTGATTATGTTTGTATATATTTATTTGTCAAGTAAAAGAAGAAAAAAAAAAAAGAGTAAATCTTTTTTTTTTTTTTGGAGGGAGGGAAACGTTCATCTAAACTTGGTATACTAAAGATTTATTAACCAAACTTTAATTCGAAACATCCGAAACATCTACAATCATATGTAGTAGACAAAATCTATACTAAATATAATAATAATGCCAAAGAAAACTCTATAATTATTGTGTATATATATAAAATTAAAAATGAAGAAATGAAGATGAAAAAAAAAAAATTACAAGACTAAAAAGATCATGATGATCATAATAGGTATCAAGATTCTTGAATAGATTCTTCATTTTTGACAGGGTCAGTTGCGATAATCAAGCCATTTTCTAATTAAAATCATTAATTTTTATGATTAAATAAAATATCTTTTAACAAATATTAAAAGACTGATAAACCCTTACCACTATCAACGCCTTCTGGTGCTTCGATCCAATCATTAGGAACTACACCTTTAAATTAAATAAAATTATGATGTCGGTAGACTCAAGCTAAAAGTTACATTGTAATATATTAGTTGTACCTCAATTTACATTTTATTCTCACTTTTTTGAGACAGTAAAAGTTTGTGAACGTGTTTGTTTGTTAAAATGTTTATCCAAAGTATTCATTAACCAGGTATTATTCCATATACCTGGTGTTTTAACCATATATTTATTAAATTTGTTAATTGAAGATTCCATCAAAAAGTCGAGAATGAAAAAGAATATAAATCGAGGCACAACACATATATACTTATTTATATTTAACCTACATGGAAAGAGTGTTCCTAATTTCGCAGCACGATTTATCCAATCTATAAATAAAATAATATCAATTCAACAAAAAGAGAATTAAATAGAATATTTACAATGCAAGCTATATATACTTATATTTGTAATTTTCTTACTTGGTGCAGGTTTTCCAACCAATATTTTACATAATTCACTAGAAAAGTGATTACAATTCCTAATATAATTAATGGTTAATAAATTAAATTGTATTTATTAGTGAGGAAATATATATTTGTTATATAAATTTATTGCTATATATTAGTTATAATATAATATCGAATATTATACCTTGTTAACAAATTATAACTATTTCCACTCCACTCTTTTGATAATTCATTGATAGCATTCTTTACATCTTCTTTAGTCATAGACGTATATCCCATAAAAATTGAATCTCTAATAAAATTTAATAGTTTAATTAGTTAATGTTAATTAAATATTGAATTATATAAAAAAAAATCAATAATTACTTGAATGTCACATTAGGTGGTCCAGTTCTGGGTTTCATAAGAAACACACCAGTAGCATCAAAATCATGTCCTCCAAAATTGTATTCTGATTTTTTAAAGGTTTACAATTCATGCTTGACCATGTAGTCGTATCAGAAAAACATGATCTGCGATAATTTTTTACCTTTGTCAAATACTTCAACTCCCGAATGAAATACTCCTATTTAATATTTAATATTAAAAAAAAAAAGATAAAACAATTTACTTCATATATTTGATTTTATTATATTTAAAATATACTGGTAATCAATAAAAATTACACTAACCGATCCCAAACATATAACCGATATCTGTAATCCTTCCCCTTGGTAGCTTTTTTTTTTTTATAAAATGTAATATCATAAATACATATAATTTATACTAATTCGACTATAAAGTTATACTTACCATGTCATATACATTTATGTATACCTTTTGTACATAAGCCATAATAACGAAAAAGGTAATGAGTTTTCAAAATTTTTTTATATTCTCCTTTTTTCTCAAAATGTATCAAAAAAAAAAAAAAATGTAGTAAAAGAGAAGCTCAAAAGAATATATTAAAAGAATTTAATACCGGAGTTTTTTGATCTCTACACAATGGAGTCTCATATTGGTTTGATGATGAGTTATCTGGTTCAATTTGACTACTCATCTTATTATTATTATTATAACTATAACTATAACGAACCATTTTTTTTTTTCCAATATTTAATTATTATAGTTTAATAACTCGAGGTGGTAAATATTAAAGAATTTTCTGCATAAAAAAAAAGAATTACGAAAATCCTTAATTTACTCAATGATCGAATGATTCCGGAAAAGGTTAGTAATCACAGAATTTATTTAGTTTCACAACATGTGGTGTTGTGCACACATTCCCCAATTATTGGTGACCTCGGTTTTATTGTAAATGCGCATTCTCCCTTCGGGGGTTCTTTTTTTAAACAAGATAATAATAAATAAATAACTTGTAGCAAAGCTGGATTTTCTTTTTTGCGAACTTTTCAAATTGACTTTACCTTTCGTCTACGTTGTAATGTAATCTAGATAATGGCTATTGAAATTGATTAAATTTTTTATAATGAATTTAAAGGTTGTTAAGAATCATTACATAGTTGACTGTCACTTTTATTTTATCATCCGCAATTCTCAATATGATTGATTATTTTTCACTTTACATTTATCAACCTTATTTTCAGTTAACTATTGTGATCTTTTGTGTACGCAGTAATCCATGTTTAGCACAGGAATAAATGATGTGTTAATAAATAAAAACACAAACCCTGTGAATCTATTTATCGACACAAAATTTCAACCCTAATATTAGTACTACAGTACATCGATCTTCCCTGTGATAATGATAGTAACCAAGAAAATTTGAGTTATCAAAAAATTCGATAGTTTAACTAAATGCAGTAACTTTTATTTGTAAATTTAAAATATTTAAAATGTAGTTCACCACATTCGAAATTCGAAATGTTTTAAATCAGAATGCATTTTGCGGAACACTAAGCGCATTTTATTATAGTGACTTGCTTTAGTTTAAATTGCAGGTAATACGAATTTTTATTGGTTAAAGAAGCTGTAAGATCTAACGCTGAAAAGAAAAGTTTTATCCAACAAAAAAAAAAATTTCAGCATCTAATATTTTGATGCATTGCATTTCATACCGGTAAAAAAATTTCGGCATGCCATTGCATCCTAAATTATTATTATTATTACGTATTTATTTGTTATTTTTTATAATCTCGTTAAAACCTTTTTTCTCGAATTGAAAATAAAATTTTAAATACTATACAATATCGATATTGTACCTTACGTACAACGTAATTCTAACTAACTTGATCCAGTGCTAATCAGTACTATAAACATATTAAAATAATCCATCGCCCCTTCTAATCACAAGTCTTAGAACTACCAAAATATTTGATCGCGCTAAGGAAAGCCATCAATTCGTTATTATAATTTCTATCTTAAACGAATCCACTACTGTATATCTATAAATTTAAGAACATAAAATAAGAATATTAGTGTCATGTTAAATAATTCTTTCCAATAACATAATTTGCATTGCCCAATGAAATTGCCCAAAATATTAATGTTAACCAACTCATTAACTTTGAGAAACTCTCTGGACTAAACTTTGACATTGTTTAAACTGGAAGTTGATTCGTCATAATAGATTTGTTACCCTAAATCATTTTATTTGTTCGTTTCAATTTCTCCCTCCCCCCGAAGTTCTAAAAAATGATGTTAACTGTAAGCGGCCTAATTTCTAAATTTGGAAAACATAAATTCAAATTTCCAAAACTTTCTTCAGGCATTAACCTTAAGCTAAATTTTATTTATCATGCTATAGGATTTTTCACGATATTCTAATATGTCTGCATTATTTTGTTCGATCTTTGATAATTTATCTAAATCTGAGAGTGATTCTGGATATCTGCCTATCATGTGGTAGGTTTCTACACGATTTCTTAATGCAAATTCATCATTTGGCTCGACTTCTAATGATTTACTTAAATCTAAAAGCGACTCTTCATATCTACCCATAATACGGTGAATTGCACCACGGCTTTTTAATGCAAATAAATTATTTGGATTAATTTCTAATAACTTATTTAAATCTTCAAGTAAACCTATATCTTTTCTAACAATTTGATAAGTATTTCCGCTATTTTTTGATGCATATACCTCATTTTGAAAAATTTCTACCGATTTATTTAAATCTGCAAGCGATTCTTCATACCT